CCACCAAAAATTCAAATACGAGTAGATCAACTCAAATCACTTAACGACTTTCAAAAGTTATTAGGAGWCATAAATTGGATAAGGCCTTCTCTAGGCATACCAACAGGAGAGTTGGGACCTTTATTTGATATCAAAAGTCCCCCAATGAGCAGCTCTGTGGTCTGAAAGGGCGGGGAAACAGCCCAATGAGCATCACCACAGAGGAGCCAATCAGCTGGCAGCTAGAAGTTTGCTGGGGCCGCTGTGAGCCAATCATCAGCTAGCTGGAAGTTTGCTGGGGCCCCTTTGGCTGTGGCTCTCAACAGCTATGGTTTGGATGGGACTTGTTTCTCAACGGTTCACATGCTGGCACCTGGTCCAGAGTGCAGCGGTATTGAGGTGGTGAATTTCTAAGAGGTGGAACCAGGTGAAGGTAACTGGTCATTGGGGTACATCCTGTCTCCTGGGACTCTGTTAATTCCTGTGAGAATAAGCTGTTATAGAGAGAGTTCATTTGTCTTGAGTTTTTCTCTTGGTCCTAACAGGTTTCCCTTCCATTGCTCAGTCATGCATGATGCAGCCAGGGAACCTTTATCAAGATGCCAATGTTATGCTTTTTGGACCTTCCAGTTGCCAGATTAGTGAGCCAAATAAACTTTTCTTTTTTTTTTTTTTCAGGGCTGAGGACTGACGGCCTTGCACATGCTAGGCAAGTGCTCTGCTACTGAATTAAATCCCCAAACCCCAAAATAAACTTTTTAGGAAAAAATATATATACATAAATATGTGTGTGTATTTATTTATTTATTTATTTATAGATGGACACARTATCTTTATTTTTTATTTATGTATTTTTATGTGGTGCTGAGGATCGAACCTAGTGCCTCACACATGCTAGGTGAGTGTTCTACTACTGAGCCACAACCCTAGCCCCCAAAGAAACTTTTTTATAAGCTACCCACCTTTTGGTCCTTGTTATGAAAACAAAACAAACAAAAATAGTAAGACCAAAAAGTATTATTTAAACTCTTCCACACCCACATTGCATAACTTTGACTTCTTTCCCCAGTGGCATCAAAGTCCTTCAGTTGGTGTGTGAGCCAGAAATTCCTGGGCATGCTCGTTGCCTGGTACATCAGGAATACAGTCTTCTAGCTTAGTCTCATCTTCCTAAATGAAGGGAACAGTGTGTAAACAACATGGCAACAAAGCATCAGAATTTTTTTCCCTTCTTCCTAGCAACACACTATTGCCTTGCTTTCTCTTAAATCATCCCCAGTAACAAGAGAGACAAATTATACCTGATAGGAGAAACAGGAAATCAATGTAGAACTATACCAGAAAAATAACTTTCTTCAGAAAAAAACAGACTTTACTATAGGGAAATTATAGGGAAGCATGAGTCTGTTTTTCATACAGAAATGATTTGTGAGCTCCACATTCTGATGTAAATTAGATGCAATGATCAAAAGAAAGGTTCTATTCCCTCAAAATGTGTGGAATCAAGCAAGGCATAAAACTGAAATAGAGATAGGCATGCAGCTTAGTGGTAAAGTATTTGCCTAGCATGTATAAGGCCTGTATTCTATCCCTAGAACCACCAAAAAAAAAGTAAACCAGGTTTTCCGTAATAATAGAGATAGTATATTATATGAGAACAGTTCATTATGGCCTGACACAATAGTGCACACCTGTAATCTCTAATCCCAGTTATCTAGGAGGCTGAGGTAGTAGATGCAAATTCAAGGCCAGCCTGGACAACTTAGTGAGACCTTGTCTGAAAATGAAAAATAACAAGGGTTTGGGATGTAGCTCAGTGGTAGAGCACCTGAGTGAGTTCCATCCCCAGTACACCTCCCAACAACAACAACAACAACAGTTATAAATCACAAGAGGTCTTTTGGCTTCATCTGATACTCTAAGTCTCCCGCATGCAGAAATWCCCTGACAGGGTGGTCAAAGAGCTGAAAGAGAGGGGTCCCTGTTCAGGGATGCTGGAGTAGATGCGCTCTCAAGTCTCCTGAGAGGTTGCTTTGAGCTGAGGACACTTAAGACCTCAGCATGGGGTGTACTGAGGAGCTGGCCAGGTAAGGTAGGCAAGGAAAATGTGGCAGCAGTGCTTTGAGGAGAGGCAGCCAACAGTGAGAGAAGGGGAGCTATAGCCCAGGAAACGAACACACACCCCCACCCAGACACACACTAACTCAGACACACACAAACACACAGTGYGCACGTGCCTGGTTGTTTTTTTTGGGGGGAAGGGAACATGCCTGACGAAATTTCCACAAAGGAACAAAGCCCAAATTAGGACCTGTCTGGCATCTGCAGGGAAGAAAGCATTTTCATAAAAGGAGGTTTAAAACCCATACAGTCATTTTTCCTCACAAGTTATAAGGTGTGCAAGTATGTCTAACAGAATAATCAGAGTACAGACATCACACTAACCTTGATAAGTCCAGGAGGAGGTTTTTCATAGCTAAAAAGAAAAAAAAAAAAACAAGAAGCAAATCTTCATCAACTATATTAACAGAATCAAACACACCAAGTTAATGCAAAGCAGAGCTATAGCATTATTAATTAGACATTTTAGCAAGGATAAGCGTTTCTCATCTGGTTTACAGACCAGGAATCACCTCCGAAGTGTGGAAAGGTTCCCCTGCCTAGGCTCAGCAGTACTCAACTATCAAACACTCCCCAGATTGTCRTTTTTACCCTTGAAGGACTGTACTCTGTGGTTTTTTAAAAAATATATTTTTAGTTGTAGATGGACATGACATCTTTGTTTTATTTATTTTTTCATGTAGTGCTGAGAATTAAACCCAGTACCTCACATGTGCTAGGCAAGAACTCTACCACTGAGCCACAACCCCAACCCCTAAAACTCTTGTGATTTTCTAAAAAAATATTTTTAGTTGTAGATGGACATGATATCCTTATTTTATTGATTTTTTTWAATGTGGTACTGAGAAACAAACCAGTGCCTCACATGTACGAGGCAAGTGCTGACTGTACTCTGAAGAGACCAGAGGCTGGATGTGAAATGCTTACATTTCAGACAAATGTCTAAAGGGGAAGAACACTGTACAGTCATCTATTTGCTCACAGAACAAATCTCAGGCTTTTAAAGGCATCTATACTGCTTCTACAAAGAGTAACACATAAACGTGGTTAGTTTGGATCTGTGCCTCACTCCTCTATGCCTGCAAAGAAGCACTCATTTTAATATTTCAGAATGGATGGAAAGGACAGAAACACTTACAATGTAATGTTTTCTTCATTCTGGCTCTTCTTCCCCCCCCCCACTCTCAAATAGTGTTTAAGAGACCCTTCAGAGGAGAATGAAAATTAGGGATGAAAGTCAAGGAGAATACACTGAGGGAAAAGTGAAATGATTTTCCATCTCCTCTTCTGTTAAGATGTGGGAGAAATCACTTGGTAGATGAAGCATGAGAAATGTCCAAGTCACTAATTCAGAGCTTTTCTAAGGGTCAGAGGAGGATCTGTCTGTCTCCTTAAGATTACCTAGTAAATGAATGGATATGAACAGAATTAGCTTCTTAGAATTGGCATAGTGCTCTTCCCCAAACTGATACTTGGCTAACTGATGCTAGGCAAGTGCTCTATCACTGAGCTATATATCCCAAGCCCTGATTATCTTAAGACAGGGTCCTGCTAAATTTTCCCAGGCTGTCCTCCAACTTTAATGATCCTCCTACCTCAGCCCCCCAAGTAGCTGGAATTAGAAGCATGCTCCCCAACCCCAGACTTTAAAGTATTAACAGGAATGTGTGTCATGACACAGGGCTAATTCAACAACAGCAATGGAAATCTGAACAACCTAACAAGATGGTAGACCCCATCTGGTAGCCATTTGTTAGAAATATTAATATGATGCCTCAAGCATCTGGACTGAAACGAGTTTGGTAGTAAAGTATATAAATCCCCAAATCCAATAAACACATCTTTTTAAATCTTAGGAGTTGAAAAAACAACAAAATATGGCTAATTAAATTTAGAATCAAGCTGAGTGTGAYGGTACATGCCTGTAATCCTGGAGTCTAGGGAACCTGAGGCATGATTGCTACTCTGAGGCCAGCCTCAAAAATTTAGCCAGACCCTGTCAAGAAAAAAAAAAGACTCAAATTCATGACTAAAATATATTTTTGCCATGATGAAAAAGAATATGCTGTTTTGCAATATTTTGTTGTTGTTGTTGGTGGTGGTGGTTCTGGGGATGGAAGCCAGGGACACTTGACCACTGAGCCACATCCCCAGCCCTATTTTGTATTTTATTTAGAGACAGGGTCTCATTGAGTTGCTTAGTGCCTCACTGCTGCTGAAGATGGTTTTGAACTCAAGATCCTCCTGCTTTAGCCTCCCAAGCCCCTGGGATTACGGGTGTGCACCACCATGCCTGGCTCTGTTTTGCAATATATTAACATTAGAAATGGCATTTTCTAAAAAATCCATTTTACAACTTGTTTCATAAATCTGTGGAAAGGTGGCTGATATTTATTCCTAGGGCTAACCAATTCACCAATGAAACACATTAGAAAAGATACTTCTCAATGTTTAAAATAATATTTAAGTACTAAATATCAGAGATTACAAAACTGGAATAACATTATATACCTTTAGATTCTGAGCTGTGACAGTTTAAGATATCTGCATTTGGCTGGGGATGTAGCTCAAATGTAAGCCTGGGCTTAGTAATAGCACCCTTATCTACTATGACAGAAAGTTAATAGATTAGCCTAGAATTGTTGACTCTAAGAAAACAGTATATAGTTTAGAAAGATGCAGTTACATCTCAGAAGTATAAGCTAACTGGGCTTGGTGGCATATGCCTGTAATCTCAGGAACTCAGGAGGCTGGGGCATGAGGATCAGAAATTTTAGGCCAGCCTCAGCTACTTAGTGAGACCCTGTCTCAAAATAAAAAATAAAAAAGGACAGGGATGTGGCTCAGTGGATAAACATAAACACCCTGGTTCAAAAAAAAAAAAGTACAAAAATAAAACATGAAATTTTATTTGGGGCAGGCCACAGAGAGCATGTGGGGTTATTGAGTCAAGCAGTCCATTACTTTTTTTTTTTAATTAGTTGTTGATGGGCCTTTATTTTATTTATTTATTTGTGGTGCTGAAAATCGAACCCAGTGCTTCACACATGCTACGCAAGCACTCTACCACTGAGCCATAACCCCAGCCCCAGTCCTTTTTTTTTTTTTAGTATTTCTAGTATCATTTTATTTTTTAAAAACACTATATATAAGTGTTCTCTGATGTTAGAAACCAAACAAGACTCCAAAATGGCCAAAAGCAAACTTGTCAACAACCCACTCTGTTTGAAGTTTCTTCAACTGGCAAAACCCCTACTAGTGTGAGAATCTGACCATTGGATTCGGCTCTAGATTTGCACATAAATTGGTCACTGTATCCCTGACCACACAACTTAACTACTCAATTTTCTGTAAAAGCATGTTTTAATCTTTTTCAGTGGTGAATAAAGGTCTATGAGTTACAGAAAAAGTCCATAAATATTGATAGCTGGGTAGGGCCGGGCCCAGCTTGGCCTTAAACTAGGAAAAGATCTTTGAACATCTATCTGGCTTGCATGGGAAATCTAGTGTGCCACTGAATGACTTCAACGGACCAAAACCCATCTATAATGTGGATGCCAGAAATGCAGGGCCTGTATCCTCTATCTACTGCCCTGATGAAATTAAAAATATTCAGCTTTTGGGCCAGACCCCCAGCAAAGGAATACACTCATCAAAGGTTTAACAACATTAATTAGGAAAGATTTTAGAGGGCTGGGGATGTGGCTCAAGCGGTAGCGCGGCCACCTGGCATGCGTGCGGCCTGGGTTCGATCCTCAGCACTACATACCAACAAAGATGTTGTGTCCGCAGAGAACTAAAAAATAAATATTAAAAATTCTCTCTCTCTCCTCTCTCACTCTCTCTTTAAAAAAAAAAAGATTTTAGAAATTTCTTGAGGCTCTTTCCTTATATAACTTACCTAACACAGGTAACTAGAAGTGTTTGAAACAGAAACAAATTATTGAATGCGTGACTACAAAATTTAGAAATATTTGAGTTTTATGGCTAACTACAGAATCATAAAATGAAGGGAATGATAATATAATCTCCTGCCTGATATTTCTGTTAGGGGTCAGAACAGCGCCCCCACAATCCTATTTAGACTGCCTGAAACTGGAATATTCCACCCCCAAATATAAACCCCTGACATACATTGAGCTAAAAGAAATTCAGACCCTGCCAAAACAGGAAAACTTTACTAACCCTTCAATTGTCTAAAATAATTTGTAAGAATTCCCTTTTATAAGGAGAACTTTACATCTAAAAGATAAATTTTTCTTAGTCCATATGCTAAGAGGAAGAGAGCAGCTTGGATCAATAGTTATCACCTCAGACTTTTTGAAACACAAGTCAACCTTTATGCCTCCATTTAGTGTCTTAATCTGTCTCCACACCTCTCAGAAGCCCCAAAGCCCTATTCCTAGATTCCTCCTCCTCTCAATTAGTTAGTCCTTTTAATGAATTAATCAATGTTTGTTTTACTAAGGATTAAGCCCAGAGCACTCTACCATTGGGTTACAATCCCAGCTTTAAAATAAAAAACTTTTTTATTTTTATTTTTTAAATTTTAAGATAAGTTGCCCAGTCTTGCCTGGAACTTGAGATCCTCCTGCCTCAGCCTCCTGAGTGCCCGGCTTCCCTGGCTGTTTCTCGCGTCTCTAAACTAACATGGCTTTCCCTTCTCAGAGTGTTTCATGCCCATTTAGCAGAGCCCACTCAAAGAACTTTGAAGGGCAGATTCAGATTCCACTTGACTCTCCTCTGCAGCCCGCGCTCTCCAGGTCATCTGGACTCCTGGAGGCCTCTGGAGCGAGGGGACACGGAGCTGCCTCGAACCAGCCGGGTGGACTGTGAACCACGGCATCCCGAGCTCCGGACGCCTAGCTGCAGCGCCTTCTGCACTGCCTKGAGGGCTGGCGGGGCTGGGACTCTGAGGACTGTGGAGGCGCCWCCCTCGCTGACCCCGCTGCCAGCCTTGGGACGCTCAGGGCCAGCTCTTGAGCGGGTCTTCGGGTCTCCAGTCTCCTCCCCATAGCACAGCGACACGCCCCCCCCTCCTCTTCCCTCTTAATGGCGGAGGATGAAGGGTCCGGGGTCGTTGTTAAGGTCTGTAAGCAAGTCAAAATAACACCTGGTATTTTGCCAGGGGAATGTTAAAGTTCCTAAACAAGTCTGGATGGTGCCTGGCAAAATGCCAGAGGGAGTGGTTTGAGAAGTAACAAAAGTGAGCCATTAAGTGTGGAGATTCCTTATTGGTTGACTGATGTATCTAGTTTATGCTAATTAAGATAAGCTGTGTAGAATGTATAAATAGCTCTGTTGTCCTACAATAAACTGGCTTCCACTCCTGCTGTATCAAAGTACAGAAGTTATTCGTCACCCCCCCCCCCATTCTGCTGCAGCCGGACTGGCAGGTAGTCCCTTCGCAGCGTACCATCAAAGGGAACGAGTCCCCAAAAGTGCCCGGCGGGGCGTGTCTGTCACTTGGTCCACCAACGGCGCCCGCAGCCTCCCCGGGACCCATGCCTGCACTCCTTGTGTGCGGAAGATGCCTGGGGGCGGGTCCCCCGCGCCCAGAGGAGGCCAAGCTCGCAGGCGCCGGGGCCACCACCCTTCGCGCAAAGGAGGGGCCTGAGGTGCAGGCCCTCGTCGCCCGRTTCCGGCTCCGGCCAGGGCCCAGAGGGCAGGGGAGGCGGCACCCGGGGACTCACAACGACTCCAGGTGTTTGAGCTGCAGCAGCGGCTGCGCGTCGTGCTGCCCCGGCTTCTGCTCCCGGCAGTTCCTGCTCCGCCGGCTCCCGGAGCCACCGCGCAGCCCGCCCCTTCCTGCGTCGGACAACATCCCGTCCGGGACAACATCACGGCCCGGCGCGGCCAAGGTCGTAGTTCCTCTGTGTGGCGCCCGTCCGGCTCGCAGCGCCCCTATTCTTCCCTGCGACCCGCCCGGTGGGGAGCCGAAGTCCCAGCCGTGGCCACGCCTCCTCACGGCGACCCCCACCTCCGGGCTACGGGTCCGGGTCCCTGCAGGCGCCCCCTGGCGGCAACCCAGAGCCGAGGTGGGCGGGGGTAGGGCAAAGCCTGTCAAGGCTTCTTAACCCAGGTTACCTGCCCGCCACACCCCCTTATGGGCCTAGGCCCCGTACAAGTCACGTGTGTTGTCCCCCTGGGGCTGGACACACTGCACACTATTAGTTCATGGGCCCGGTTTTTTTTTCAGTTTTCAAATTTTTGTAGTTACAGATGGACAGAATGCCTTCCTCCCTCCTTGGGCATTCCTCCCCTCCCTCTCTGTGGTGCTAAGGATTCTCCAAAGCGCTCTGCCACGGAGCTACAAGCCCCAGCCCTGTCGGTGTTTATGATGAGTTTGATAGGTCCACTCATAACCTGTAGTAGGATTCATTCATTTTTTTTTCTTCTCCCTGCTTTCTTCCTCCCAGTGTGTTCTACTGGAAAGCTACTTCCCCAGCCCTTTGMACATTTTGCCTCCCACCCCCGGCGCGGGATACTGGGGATTGAAATCAACCACTGAGGGATATCCCCAGTGCCCACCCCCTTTTGTATTTTATTTAGAGACAGGGTCTCACTGAATTGCTTAGCGCCTTGCTGTTGCTGAGGCTGGCTTTGAACTCCTGATTCTTCTGCCTCAGGCTCTCCAGTCGCTGAGATTACAGGTGTGCGCCACCACTCCCTGCAGTCTGATGTGTTTTATAAGTTTGTGGGCCTCATCTTTCTGATAAGTTTGGTAGGTACATGGATCCATGTACTTCTGATTAATTAGATAAATTCATAGGCAGTCATTTTTATTGAGGTGGCATGCATTTAAACTCAAAATGGATTAGTTTATGGTAAACTACTGCTTTACAAAATAGTAGCTGGTTTAGGAATAGGCTGAAAACTGATGTTTATATATGATGGAGTAACTCAGAAGGACACATCCTGCTGTCCACACTTTGCCTCAATTCCTGACTACSAAATTTGGGTCACTGAACAGCGGACAGCCCAGACATTTGATTCCTATAACACTTCCACCTGGTGAATTATCCTTCTGTGAACCTTACTCTTTATCCTATAGTCTGGCATAGTACAGTTGAACAGTCAATCCTCAAAGCTACAGTTTGTGTTTGGGTAAAAATGGTGRTGATTTTATAGCATCAAGGGTTATTTATTTTTTTAAAACCAGAGTTTTAAGATGAAGGCCCCAGATTCAGAGATCCCAATAGACTAGATTGGCCACCAATTCCAAGATGCCAATTCAAGAGATGAACAGTGGTAAAGGAAAAGAGATTTAGTTAGTGTAGCTACACCTGCAAGATAAGAGGACCAGCATTGTTAGTCCTGTCTTCAGGGGGCTGAAGACTTTGAAGTTTTTAGAAAGGGGAATGAAGGCAAAGGCTGAGGGTTTGAATATCTAGAGGGTGTGCACAGCTGGCCAAGTGGGTAATCTTAGGGCATGGTATAGTTGGTCTTTATCTCAGGATATTTTAGGTGAGATGGTATCATGATAATAAAGTTGCTATTTCCTGGAGCTTAATTTTCTCTTGTCAATAGATGTTTATTTATCAGACCTGTTGTTCCTGGAATCCAAAGTGACCGCAGGAAAGAATGGCTGAAGAAAACTTAGGAGTTAAAAAAAAAATCAGGGAAAATGTAGCTGGGTACACTAATCCCAATAAATTACATTCTATGTAATCTCAGTGATTTGAGATACTTAGGCTGGAGGGTTTCAAGATCAAGGCTAGCCTGGGCAACTTTTTTTTTTTTTTTTTTTGGTGTTTGGGATTGAACTTTACCATTATCTACATCCCCAACCCTTTTTACTTTTACTTTTTCTTTGTAATTATTTATTTGTTCTTTTTAGTTACACATGACAGTAGAATGTATTTTTTTTAATTTTTAAATTTTTATTTCTTTAGTTGTAGAGGGACACAATATCTTTATTTATTTATTTATATGTGGTGCTGAGGATCAAACCCAGTGCTAGGCAAGCACTCTACCACTGAGCTACAACTCCACTTCTTCCTTTTCTTTTTTTGGTTCTGGGGATTAGACTCAGAGATGCTTACCCACTGAGCCACATCCTGAGCCCTATTTT